GTTTTCTGGTCCGTGGCAGACTTTTCATAACCTACTACAGAGGGAGCCCCTCGTTTAGAAATAAGGTCCTCCGTTTGTTTTGACTGGTTTTTCTGTTTGTCATCATTTCAGTTTATTTTGAAAAATCTCAACAGGAACTTCAGCTTTATTGTGTTTATATGGAACATAAACAAGCGGACGGCGGAGCTGAAACGCTGGGTTTACCGTCATTGTTGCTATTGACAACCCGTAAAAACAGTCACTGATCCATCCGTAGTGTAGTTATTTTAAATATTCCATCCGTAGTGTAGTTATTTTAAATATAAGAGAAAGAGAGAACTTTAAGCAATTAATATAGCCACTACAGTGACCATCAAAACCATGAAACAGTATTGCCATAAACCGTTTATTTTGCGACACCACGAAACACGGTAGCGTAATGTGAAACGATGCAGGACGACCTCTGCTGTGTTTAACAGACTTTGGATGCTCTCTGTTGGCAGTTTTGTCAGCCTTTTCTTCCCAGGACGTGACCTTTAGATACTGTTAAGTAGAACTAATTGAAAACAATAAATTAAAACTAGCCATTTTAAAAATAAAGTTAAATGGAATGAGCATGCCCACTAAAGTCACTATGGACTCCTGTTCTGGTTCTCTTTGGGGGGGTTGTGTTGATTTGCTGTCCATCATATTGAGTCAGATATTAATAGTTTGAATATGTCAGAGTAAAAACCGAGAACCTGTTTTTGAGCAGCAGATGGAGAGCAGCGTTGTCCTGTCTGGAGATGAGACCAGCATGTTGGACACTGAAACCAGTTCCTCCTCAGTGAGCAGCAGCACCACAGTCAGCACCCAGAGCTCAGGAAAGGCACGCAAGCCCCCCAAAATCCTGCAGATCAGCCCACCAGCTCTGCTCGTCACTGCCTCGGACTTCTCCCCCATGAATCTCTGCAGCCCCTCACTGCCTACTGCCTCGCTCACACCAGCAATGCTTCAGGTGAGTTCACAGAAACGGCTCAAACAGGTAGTGAGCATGTCCAGCAGGGGGCAGCAGTGCTTCAGGATTAACTGATGCTCCCTTGCGTTGTTGTGATGTTTGAGTCTTCCTGGTCATGCTATTTACAGATCACATGCCTGCGTGCGCTGCTGTATAAAATGTCACAGTCTGTTAGATGTAATTGTGTTGTTGATTCACTGTTTGTCCCCCAGCAGGCCAGCCAGGTTTGGTCATGAGATCCAGCTCATGTTTTCTCTGTTCGCAGCCTGTGATGGAGTCAGAGCTGCACTGGTAGCATCAGAGGTTTTAGCTGTAGTTGATTTTTAACGCATGGTGATCCATCCTGTTATTTCCTGTCTTTCTATAAAACTATCAAAATCCTATCCAGATATTTTTAGACTGAATGGGGATATTTTCAACTGAAGCAATGTGTGAGAGGTCTCGATCACTTTTAATAACAATGAAAGAGTAATTTCCAAGGTGTC